AATAAATTATGATAAAGAAAAAAATGATTTTCATAAATCATAATATATTTTTAGGGGTTTGTTTGGGGGCATTTATAATATGCTGTTAATATTATTTTTAAGGATAAGATTAATGCTAAACGTGCATACCTTTCTCTACACTACCTATATGAATGCTTATGTCTGTAATGACTATAGGTACTCTGTTCAGCAAGAGAAAACTCGACCCCCGCTATCGATATGTTTCCACTATGTCAGAGTGTTAGGTACGTAAAGATGTGAAAAATAACCGATTTTCGTTGGACCGTGGTGTGTTCTCTGACTGGATAGATTATGRCTGGAAGCYTAGGATTTAACTTATATAGTTAATATAATATGCACTTTATAATACATATTACTTTTTAATTTTAATAAGATTTATGTTTCTATAATAATATGTACTTATATAATATACTTTATGATATTATGTATCATATACGTTTGGTTTTAGGTAATTCATTAATGATTAAACCATTAATGATGCAAAAATAATATGTTATTAGTAGGTAGAACATTTTGGTGATTTATTATAATTGAAATTATCTAACATATCTAACAAATTATGTACAAAGATAAAATAACCAAAGCTATAGAAACTGTAATATTATAAAAAGATTTATTATTAAATATATTGTAATTATCATTTGAAATTAAGATTATAGGTTAAAGAGATTATCCAGGAGTTACAATTGGGACGTGTTATATAAGTAATATATAAAGATAAGTTTAACCTATGATATTTAAACAACATCTCTATAAACCGTGATTCAGTAATACGTTAGTGGATGATTGTTGTTAAGTTCTAGTTAAATTCTCTTTTTTTTAAACTAAAAGCATTTTTTGATCCGTAAAATTATCATTATTATTATTCTTATTTTATTGATCATTAAATACATCAACATTTAGCTCATCAGTTGTCGATGTATTTAATGATCAATAAAAAATATTATCAGATATGCAATGATATAATAATAATAATGATATAATTTATTATGTATAATAAATATGCGATTAATACTCATTACTTAAAATATGCCATTAAGTTTATGTCTCGGTCGTGTAAAGATTGTATTATCATATAATCGAATTGTATACATTTACCAATAATAATATTTTGGTGTGAAAATATAGGTCAATGTTAATGTTATGTCAATTCATTCGGTACAATGTCAAAATTCGTGGAAATTATTTGGTGCTTTTTAGCTGTTTTAGAGATGGTAAAACTATACAGGTGTCCCGCGAGGATTTACCCATTGCGATATCTAATGAAATAATGGAGATATCGAAATTTTTGTTTTGTTATAAGACTCACAGGGATAAAAATTACAATTATTTAATTTTTTAATTCATTTTAATGTTTTGGTAAAAAATTTAAAAAATTAATTTTTTTATTTAATTATTTCCAAAAAATATAGCCATTTTGTAGAGTTAATTTTTTTTTAAATATTGACGTTTCAAAATTTATTTTTGTTAATTTCTTGATTTGTAGTATTTTTTCTAGTTTTAAATAAATAAAATATGATTATAACTAAAAGGCACACTGGAAGCGTTCCGTAGRCCGTACGAGCACGAGCTCGGCGCGGCGTTTCACATGTTTAATAACACTACGCTCCACTACGGTGTTAAATAATTCACAATTTTTCTCAAAATTAAAAGATAAAGAAAAAATCAGGAAATTAACAAAAATAAATTTGGAAACGTCAATATTTTCAGAAAATAAACTCTATAAAATGATGGCTTTAGTGATTTTTTGGGAAGTAATTATATTTWAAAAAAAWATATATTTTTTAACTTTTTTACGATAAAATTAAAATATGAAATTATTGTAGTCCTTATATCTGTAAGTCTTATTACAAAACTAGAATTTTGATTCTCGCGGGACACCCTGTGTGTACATAATTATTATTATCGTCATCGATTAACTTACGATTACGTGCGAACCGCGAAAATACTGCCCACCATTAGTTGACCTACCTGGGTTTTCGGAATCTGGAGAATTCCGTGCAGACCGTGTGCGAAGTAGTGGCGGCAGTGGCGGCGGAGGAACCATTCACGTTTTGCTGGTGCGAAGGCGTACCGGATACGGAAGCGGGACAACTCTCYCGCTTTCCGACCGGTTGATGGTGTCGCGTGGACGACGGTGGCGAGGCGTACCGCACGAAGTCGCCAAGGTTGCAAACGCCGCTGGCAGTGATCGAAAAGCTCCGCAGGCGATACTCTTCCAGCACGGGACCATCTGGTCTGGGCACATTTCCGAAACTCGGCTATTGGACATAAATAATCAAAAAATCAATAAAATAAACTATATTTTCTGTTATATAGTTTGTTGTATACACAGTTTTTTTTTTTTTGTCACTCATCATATCGAATTGTGGATACTCGACAAGCTCTCAATCTTTGCAGTTAGACATCTCTATTCTAATATTCGTTATTTATATGTACTTTTTTATATTTTTCCGGTGGTTTGACAATAGAAATAAAGTCAAGATCGTGATTTTGGATCTACCAATTTTATTCATTCGGTGGCCAATCTGTGATTAATTTTCACTTTTACAACTACGTTGAACAAAGTTGTACTTAAGACCATTTATTTWTATTTATAACGCATACAGAGTGTCCCGCGCGTGAAGATATACCTATTACTCATTAGCCGTAGAGGGGGACTCGCCGGCTGGATAACAACCAGTTATTTTCGTTTTATCTATAAACTAAAAAAAATATTAAAAACTGTGAGATTAATGAAAATGAAATGTTGAAAGGTCAAAATTTTCAAAAAATTAAATTCTATAAAAAGATATATTTTTTTTCAACAATTAAATATTAAAAAATAATTTTTAAACATTTATACTAATAAATGTAATTTAATTAAAAAATAAAATACACGTGATATAACGTGATACTTAAAGCAGTAATTGCCACCGAAAAATAAATTTTAGTTATTTTATTATTCATTTTGGACTATTATGAATATCATAATATTTCATCTATTATTTTGTATTGTAAATTGTTAAGATTTTATGTAAAATGTTGATGTTTATAGTGTTTRTACACAGAACTTGAACGAGTTATTTCCGGGCTATTAAAATCAAAGTGCAAAATATGATATTAGGTCTAGATGATGACCCCCGTAAACCACATGCACTGAAACGTGCTTATATACATTTTTCAATTTTAAATAATA